GTCGGCCGTAAGAGAGAAAGGAAGGTGGCTTGGAAAAAATATTAGGGTAAAGTGTAATGTTTTAGTTTTAATTTGTTTTTTTATGTTTAGGTAAAAAAACTAAAAACTCTTGTAATTACATAAAGCTAAAATTGGAATTTCACGTGGAGTAATTACTAGATACTAAATTATATTTTATCTAGTGTTAAATAACTAATTATATATAGCAAGACTAATATAGGCCTAATTTCCCTAAAATTTAAGCGTAAATAAACAAAAAAGAAACGTATTTGTGCACACTAACCTACGTCAGTTTTCTTACAAAGAATGTCCTAATAAATTGTGGGATGTTGGAAGTGATCATTTTGAATCATTGAATGATATTAACCTTGGAAGCCTTGAGTTTGATGATCTTTCTCTTGATGAACAAAAGTTGGAAGCGGTTCTGTTTGATGGAGTTGATGAAAATGGAGGTGAAAACGATACTCTAAATGATTGATCTTGAATGTTATGATTTTTTTCATTGTTATTTTACTTGATTTCATATGAATGGATATTCTCCATGTTGTAAGGTTGTTTTAGATATGACACACAATGGCGAATCTAGAAATCATTTTTACTTGGTGCAAGAACTAAAAAGTATCAAATAACACAACATAAAATAATACATCAAGAGAGACATCCAAAAGAAAAATCCTTAAACAATTACACTAATTTTGATAAAGTCATAGTTGGCAAGTGCCCATCCCAAACCCTCACTACATTCACACCAAAATCAGTCAAGATCAGTTGTCTCTCCTTGGATCTTGACATGTTCCCCAATGAAATTTGTTTCCTCTTAAACCTTGATGCTCTCAAAAACTTTCAATGTTGGTTTTTCCATCTCTATTAAGTTTAAGGGGGTTTCCATAGATTGGTTGAACTTCTCACGAAGATTTCTTGTTTTGGACCAAGTTATTCAAGTTATTCATGAGCATCTTAGGTACCTCAATTTGTTCTGGCTTGAAGTCATCATCATCTAT